ACCCCCTCCACCTACCCTCATCCCGCGAGACGGCGGCGGGCCCCCCTGTTGCGCATGCAACGAGAAAGGGACGTCTGCGCTGTCCACATGCAGCCGACGATGTGACTGCCGGAATCACAAGCGCCTCTGCACTAACTGTGTCAACTGCAAGCGCGGCACATGCACGAATTTTGCGTATCCGGCGGACCCGGCCGTTTGCGATGATGATGATGATGAATCGGATGCCGTCTCCCCCTCTGCTGGCCCTGCCGTGCCCTCCACGGCTTCCTTTGTCGATGAGAAGATGCGTGAGGCCTTCGGCGAGCCCCTCGTCAACTCCGCCGGTGGACCGACTTTCCCTGAGTGGGAGGCATATCACGAGCGGGTCTGCCAGCTTCGACTGCGGTGCGTGAAGGATCTCAGCAAGCTTGGCAACCTTGGCCGCGCCATCGCCGATGCCATCGCTGATGAGGTGGAGAAGATCTCCAAGCTCGAGGCACCGTCCGAGCGGGCTGGCGTCTTCGTCCGCACACTCATCCAGCGAGATCCGGATGTCAAGAGGAAGCGCGATGTCAAGCGGATGCTCTGGAGGCGGCTGGAGATGTGGCAGAAGGGGCAGGTGGAGGAGCTCGTGTGCGAGGCGGAGCGACTGGACCAGCAGTTCCCCACCACTCAGCCTCAGCTGGACGACGCGTCGGTCTATCGCATCTTCAACAAGCTCATGCTCGAGGGCAAGGTCCGGGCGGCCGTCCGCTTCGTCACCGAGAGGGGCGGCGGGGGGGTCCTCCACCCATCTGCTCAGGCCGAGGAGCGCTCCCCGGGGGTCACGGTGTTCGATGTCCTTCGCGAGAAGCACCCACCGCAGCAGCAGCCGCACGAGGAAGCCTTCCTTCCCTGTGACGACCTCCCTCCCCTCATTGACGTGGACATCACGGACTCGACCGTGAAGCGAGCGGCACGGAGCCTCAGTGGGAGCGCTGGACCGACCGGTGGCGATGCGAACTTCTGGCAGACCTTCCTCTTCCGATACGGTGCCAAAAGCGGCCGCCTCCGCGCGGCTGTGGCCTCGCTCGTCTCTACCCTGGCCAACACCATCGTCCCATGGGACAACATCAAGGCCCTGCAAGCGTGCCGCCTCATCGCTCTCGACAAATGCCCGGGCGTCCGCCCTATCGGCGTCCGAGAGGTGCTCTCTCGGCTGGCTGGCAAGTGCATGCCATGATGACCCGCTCTGACCTGGAGACGACCTGCGGCACTGATCAGCTGTGCATCGGTGTGAAGGGGGGCCTCGAGGGGGCTGTGCACGCGGTGAATGACCTCTTCCAAGAGGACGAGACCGAGGGGCTCCTGCTGGTGGACGCGAGCAACGCCTTCAATCGCATCAGTCGGCCTGCTGCCATCTGGAACACCCACGTGCTGTGGCCCCGCTGCTCTCGCTATGTGTTCAACACCTACCGAGGGTTCACTGCACTTCATCTGTAAGGCTCAGCCGGCTGTCTGTGGAGCTGTGAAGGCGTCACACAGGGCGATTCGATGGAGATGTTCGTCTACGCCTGCGGCAGCCTTCCCCTCATCCATGCCCTGCGGGCTGCCTGCGCTGAGGAGGGATATGAGATGCCGTCGAGTGGGGCATGGGATGAGTCAGGCAGCGATGGGTCTGGGTCAGACATGGACGAGAACGAAAACGCGCCATCAGAAGCGCAAGAGAGGCCAGAAGAAGCCAGTGACACGCCACCAGAAGCAGAGGGGGATGGTGCGGGTGTATGTGTGTGTTCTGATGTAGAAGGTGTTGGAGTTGGTGAGGAGGAGAGTTTGTCGGCCTCGTCAGCCCCGTCGGCCTCTTCATCTAGCGCTTCGCTGCGGCAGTGCTGGTATGCGGATGACTCGTCGGCGCTCGGCAAACTTCACGGCATCCTCGTGTGGTTTCGAGCCCTGCGTCGCATCGGTCCCTCATACGGCTATCACCCAGAGACCGCCAAGTCCTTCCTCGTCGTCAAACCCGAGCTCGAGCAGATCGCAAGGGAACTCTTCGAGCCCGAGGGGGTGCAGATCGTCACGGGCAAGAGGTTCCTGGGCGGCTACGTGGGCGATGAGGGGGGAAGGGCGGCGTTCCTCTGCGAGAAGGTCGAGGGGTGGGTGCGCGGCGTGCGCGCGCTCACGTCTGCTGCCCGCAACTTCCCACACACGGCCCACGCGGCAATGACGAGGTCTCTGCAGATGGAGTGGGACTACGTCTTTCGTGTCGTGCTCACCGACGAGTGCGCTCTCAGCCCCCTCCGCGAGGCCATCGCCAAGGAGCTGCTGCCGGCCCTCCTCGGCGGCCCTGTGACGCCGTCCGAGGTCGACCTGATGCTGCTGCCTGCCCGGCATGGCGGCACCGGCATACGTGACCCTCTCGACCGTGCCGCAGCCGCCTACCCCGCTTCCCGCGCGAGCACCAAGGTGGTCTCCAAGTCCGTCCAAGGCAAGGCTCCGTTCCACCCTGGCGACCATCGTGCCACCATCCGCCACGCCCTCACCCGGAGCAAGCAGCAGCAGGACGTCGCCCACAAGACCAAGAGGGAGGCCGCCCTGCCGCACATCGACCGCCGGCGCCATCGCGTCCTCTCCCGC